TCAAGCCTGAATATATATATATATATATATATATATATATATATAATTTTCCCTAAATTTAATACAAAGATCTAAATTTTAAGTTTTAGATTTTCTAAAATTTACAAATACCTAATTTGGTAGAACTTTTTAATTTTTTAAAAATTGTTTAAATAAATACCTTTAAGGTTCTACCTTTTGCTAATCACTTACAATTTTTGTAATTACATTTAGTAATTTTAAAAATTACTATATATTTAATTGAAAATAATAATTATACATGTTTGAAACAGTTTGTAATGACATACAAATCAAAAGCTAGCAAAAAAATTGTTTGATAATCCGAAAGTTTATCATACATTTGGTCAAAACTAACAAAGATCATATCTCATTGACTAACAACTCTATATAAATTTACACTTACACCCTATTAATTATAATAAATACGAGATCCATAGTGGATAAAAACGAATAGAAAAAATATCGAGTAGATGCTATAAAAAGAAATATTGTTGTAGAGTCTAAAAAGAGAGATTTATAATTCGAAGTAAATCTTAGAATTGTTGGTAAAAAAAAAATGGGTTGCTGAATACTTTAACTATATATCCGGTTTTTGATGTATTTGGGTAAAAGAAAAGTACGTTATTATTAGAATTTTCGTTATACCAAAAAGCAGAATTTGTTAATAGATATGTTTTCGATAAATAAAAATAATAATATATACCTAAAATTCGAACTTTCAAAAAATAAAATTAGTTTTTATTTTTTTTAATGACTTCTAAAGCAAAAATAAAACTTCAACGTTATGCCTTTCTAGTACAAATAGGTCAGTTAGATATAATTTGATTTATTGTGGATTTAGATTAATTTAAATAAAAAATATCGTTAGATAATATTTTTTTATTTTTATTTTAGAATTTAATTATAAGTTGAATTTTTTGTCAAATTAATTATAAGTTGATTTACTTTTATGCATTTAATTTTCTGATTCAATCTATGCATTTAATTTTTATATGATGAATCAAATTATAATAAAATGACGTTCGGTTTTATGTGAATCATTGACCAGCCCTTATTTTTTTTTAGTATTCTTTATGCTTACTCTTATTTGTAAGAGAACTAATAATCATTGAAATTTTTTATATTCTGAATTCGATACAATGAAAATATTTGAGAGAAAAAAGGGGTAAAAAGAAAAAGAATGTGCACGAGAATCACACAACTTGCCACGGAGTGGCCACCACCGACCGTATGTGGATTGGAGGTCATATGGAAAATTCGACCAAGTATTAATATATTGAATTAATTTTGATTTGATCTAGCATAATTTTTAAATTAACATATAAAAAATCATCGAAAATTTCAGTAAAATTGATTTTAAATAAAAATAAATTGAAACAAAAATGATAATTTTGAAGATTCGATTTGATTTTGATATAAAAATCAAATAAACATAATTTTTAAAACCTTTGAGTCATTAACGAATAATCAAATAAAAATGGAAATATATTGTGAATATCTGTGTTAGTGTTTGACAATTTTACTATATAAAAGTTCACATTTTCTGGCCACTAACTCAGATGCTGACTAATAATAATAGAGGGGTGGGGTGGTGGACAAAGAGTGGGACCTAATCTTGCAATTTGCATGGACCTTTATATATATATATATATATATATATATATATGTATGTGTGTATATATATGTGTGTGTGTGTGTCACATCAACAAGAGCAACCAATTTGCCTACAAATATTCAAAGCAAATTGGTCCCCCTTTTTGAAATTTCTCACGTGTTTTCTGCCACCCTTTCGTCCCCGAAGACTTTGGAAAAGTTTGGACCAATTTTTTTTTTGATAAAAAAAAATATAAGTATTTAAAAAATAAATAAAACTACTTTTTTTTACTTAAAGAGGAAATTAGCTATATTGAACTGGATAAAATTGAATATAATTCGATTTTAATTTGATATAATGCTTACGACAAAAAATGATAAAAAATAATGTAACTCTGAATCATACCAAAAAAATCAAACCGGAATCGATGTATTTATATGAAATATATTTGATAAAAAATATTTATAATTTCAAAATTACTAAAATAATGATGAATAATTCAAATTACTAGACCTACCATTGAGTCCATGGAAACTATCAAGCCGAAGATTTATCTTACGGAGGCAAAATCCAACTTATTGTCTCTACAATCTATGCATGGTTTAGTCTATTAGCGGAGTTATATGTTCTATGTGAAATTGATTGATGGCTTATGTCCTTCATTCCTTTAGAAAAACTTCTTAACAATCTCGGATTCAATAATAGTGGCCTGAGATTCGATATGTAAACATCGAAATGAAGTGGTAGTGGGTTTGAGAAAACCGGAATATTAAAATTAGATAAACCGGTTGAAATTGGTATTAGTGGTTCTCTATGAATTGCTTGGTTTTCTTCTAATGAAACTTATATCCTTGGTTCTTGTGTTCCCTTCCAAGATCTAGAGAATATTATACATATCAAACCCACACATACTACACAGCCCATCTAGAAAAAAAAGGAAAAAAGAAGAAAAATTCACATCCAGAGACAGATGAGTTCTATCATGCGTGTGTAACTCGGTACAGATATAGGACACAACACACAAAACGCCGTACGCAGGCAACTAGGTGCAGACACGAAAATGGTGAAACTGCACCAGGAAGAACTGAGACTAACCCGAAAATTTCGAGGATGTGAAAAGTGTGGTGAAACTGCAGTCGGAAGAACTAATGACTAAGACTAACCCGGAAACATCGAGGATATGACAATTTTCTCCTGGACCTATGTTCCGAATTACTTATGCCATATCTAGAGGGGGGTTTCGCGCTAGAAATGGGTACCTGGTTCACGGGTATAAACACTACTGCTGCGATTGAGGGAGAAGTCTGCAGGTTGGGCAATACCATTTTCCTTTGAATCTTGTCTCCGGTGTCAGACCGACGCATGTGTAGTGAAACCATTCACCTCCTTGGCACTGTCCAAACAAAAATATAGCATGCCGTGATCGATGCATTATTCTCTTATGAAGTGATTTTATGGGTATCGAAAGTGGGAAGAACGGATATGAATGCGAAAGAGAGAGAACACTGAGTAGCCCATCTACCATTTGTGTCTCCCCAGGAAACTATTTATAAACTATGTGACGATATACCAAAGTTCATTACTTTAATGCCAGAATTGTGATTCTCCAAGAATTCTTGAAACTCAAGTGAAACAGATTCACAAGCAGTGATGCTTTTATTTTCTAATAGTGTAATTGTAAACTGTGCTAGCAGAACTTATCATACGGATTCCAATTAAGAGAAGAAGACTAACTATAACAAAGAAAATAGAAAGAATGAGTGAGAAATGCAAGGAAGAGACTCACATTCTCGTTGTCACAGGCAATCATGTCTCCAAAGGACACCTGAATAATGGTGTTAACAATCAAGATGGGATCAGTATCATACAAAGAGCTTCATATACCCAAAGATTTGCTTATACGATGCGATGTTTTGTGTCAAAACCTGGTGGCAGACACAGTAGGTTGGTTCATTAGGATCGATGGGCTGATCATCTACGGGGGTGAAGTCTTTCCGATGGCTACCTGGAGGAGGCATGAGTTCGAAATCCCTATCACGTTCTTGATCCCAGTCTCTGTCCCTGTAATCGATCTTCTTGGACTGAGGTGTGCTGTAGAAGGACTTGCGTTTTTCAGGTTTTGGAACTATTGGTAGTGGAGGAAGAACTGAAGGCTCGTCTGGCGGAATTTTTCCCTCTGACAGCGTATAGAACATGAATGAGAGTAAACCACATTACACTTAAATAGCCAAAGCAGTTCTGTAGACCAAGAAACAAGCTTAAGTTCTTCACTCAAGAGCACCCATCACAAATTTAAGAACTAGAAGGAGATTGTTAAAGCTACACTGAAGCTTGAAATCGGTAGCTAGCTGTTCACTCAACTTGCTATAAATGGGCAGCAACTTTCTTGGTAAGCCTCTCATTGGTGTTACAAGAGACTTTACCAAGAGATTGACTCCCAGGTATTTTCTTCTTGCAATAATTAAAGTGTGTGGTCATTAGAAAAAAAAAACATGAGAGTCATTAGTGATTCGTTTAGGAAAGTACCTTGCTTCAGATCTTCTGCAAAGTTATTCAGATCTTCATCAAGTCGCTTTACATGACTATCTATCTGTAGCCAAATCAAACAGAACAATTATCACCATAATCCCATCGGCTTAACAAGGGGAGTTTGTTCCCAAACCTTTGGCAACAAGTCTTATGATATTCAAGTTATTGATCGAAAACAACTTTTTATTTCATTTCATATTAGTAGGGATTACTATATGCAGAGATCTCGGGCTTGTGCACGTGCACAGCTACTCATGTGCTGGTGTGGTTGTCTACCGATTCACAACTTGCTACAAAACACAAAAGCATGTATATCTTCAAGTTATAACACATCTTTATGATCTCATTATAACACATGTTTATGATCCTATCCCACCTAGTGAAGGCATACTAGCACGGTTATTCATAGCCCAATGACTAAAGCTAAAACCTAAAGGAGCCCTGAAACAGAAACGGGCATAATGCCACAACTTAGTTTATTGTGGAGGAATAAGCAGCTTACGAGATCATAGGCTTGTCTTGCCAATAACACCTTCTCAGTACACAAACTTAGCGCGTTTTCTTGGCTTGATTCAATCTCCTTACGCATTTTCTCGATCGTTTCTTCGTCATCATGGCCATTGTTGTAATGATTCCCAACCCCTTTCTTGGAACTCTGTGACGCCAATCCTAAGCACAACTTAGTCTGTTGTCTCGTCTGGTTAATCAGCGCTTCAAACATCAACATAACGCAATCAATTTACTGAAAGTTCCTAAAATGAAAACTAATAAAACACATCGATCAGACACAATAATACACTACATTCACCCACAAAATCCAATAAATTCACTAACACATATACACTGGGACTCACAAATACACAATCATACGATTCTCAAGTGAAATTACGGTGACGGGCTTACACTGAGATCTTCCGTCGAGTTCACGGATTGTGTTCAGCAGTCTCTGGAGTTCCGCCGGCAAAGTACTTGCATCTACGAGGGTTGATTCACATCAAAATCAAACATAGAATAAATAGGAAAAAACCATAAATTGAACAAAAATCCGAGTTCGAAAAACATTCCCAAAAAGAAGAAAGATTCTCAGATCCGAGGGAAATTTCTCGAGCGTACACTCAAGGTAATCATCGACATAAACTCCGGTTCTCGCGATTGCCATCTGCGATGAGGTTGATTTGGATTTGCTTCTAGTTCAAAACTAGGGCTTGGAATCGGAGGTGAGGGAA